ATCTAGAATATGACGCACTTCAGTTTCAGACTGAGTAGTGTGGGGATCTAAATGAGACATAGTGGGAGTATACCACAACAATTCGCAACATTATACAGGAACGTTAACTTTCTTATCTCCCTCTAATGAAGGCAAGACTATCTCATCGAAGTGACAATTTGCAAAACATGCGATAAAGAGATCTCCTGTCAAGGGCTCTAAGTAGCGAATAATTGATGACGAATCATAACCGACACAGATTCTCATTATTCTCTAAGGACCCGTTTTGGTACGTAGTGGCAAGGCTATTGGCACATAAACTGTGGACCCAAACACACTTAAATGCGAGACGTCAGTCTCATATCCAGTAACCAACTATAATGGTGAATGAGGTTAGGTAACAGTGGGCCTCAGGCTGACCAACATAGTTGCGTGTAATATTGCATAGCCCCAGGCAAATACCTGTAATTTGGTTCGCATAACCAAAGTCCGAGCTATCAATTGAAGGCACTTTATGAAAGCTTCTACTAGGCTATCTTGGGAGTGAACATGGGGTACAAGATGTTCAATATCAATCCCAACAGATATGCAATAATCGTCAAAATTCTGTGACGTAAACTTTCCAACATTGTCCAGTCGAATTGACTTGATCAGATAATCAGGGTGGTGAGCCCTAAGCTTAATAATTTATGCTAGGAGTTTTGCAAATGCAACGTTATGTGTGGATAATAGACAAACATGTGACCAACGTGTCGATGCATCAACCAACACCATAAAGTATCTAAATGGTCTACATGTTGGTTGGATAGGTCCATAAATATCCATTTGAATCATCTGAAGAAACTTAGGAGGGTTATGAATAATCTTTGTAATTGAGGGTTGAGTATTCAACTTCCCCAAAGAACAAGCTTTGCAAGGCAGGAATCCAACGTAGGGAGGTAAATGATGCCCATGTGATGATTTGAGGATACGACGCATCATGTCACGTCTAGGATGTCCTATACGGTCATGCCAAAGTAGCAAAGTGTTTTGAAACCGAGGCACAGGGCTAGCCACATGGTAAGCTTCTATGCCGCGAGTGGTTGTAATGTACAACCTACTCGGGAGACATTCCATCTTCTTGTGAATGCACTTCTGGCTATACTCGTAAAAAATGATACAAAGAAATTCAGAACCATTCTCTTCAATGGTCTCAACATGATATTAGTTGTCTCGAATATCTCTGAAGCTCAGCAACGTTCTTCTGGAACGTGGAGAATAGAATGCCTCTTTAATGGTTAAGATAATTCCATTGGACAACATTATACGGGCCTTTCCGTGTCCCTCAATCAAGTTGGATGAGCTTGAGAAGGTTGTCAAATGTGCATTTTTAGGTACAAAATTAGTAAAATAGTGTCCCTCACACAATATGGTGTGCATGGTAGCACTATCAGCCAGACAACTAACTTCCCCATTAGTCATACCTAGGAATAAATTAATTGAATTGGTCACATGCATAAATATAATTCCACTCATTCAATTAATCAATCGAAGAATAATATCTATAAAATAATTATCCATAATTCAAAACAAACCAAAACCAAACAAATTATTCAAAAGACTAAGAAAAATTGTCCAAAAATTAAACCATAAACCTAAAAAATTGGGAGGGGGTGGGTTTCGGGCACTCCTAGTGGGTTCAGCCACTAAGGGTTAAAACACCCTAGAAACATATCTAGAAAAATAAAACTTTATTCTTCTATAGGAGCGAATGCCTCCTGAAAATCTAATATCTCCATGGATGTAGTAGCATCTTTAGGATGTTCCACATTGGCAAAGTTAGACTCACAACGGGAATGATACTTGGCAATGGCCTCGGGGGTAGCTCGGCATACACATGACCAATTATCCTTTGATCTACAGCAGTAATGCATGTCCAGTTCAATGGAAGCCGATTGAACAGTAGTTTTTCCCTTATTCTTGAAGTTTGGGGCCTTAGGGACAAAGGTTTGGCGCTTCGAAGTTAAATTTCCTCCCTTGGGTGGGCCTTGGTTATGTGGACCTTGGACCCATGGGTGGGCTTGCCGTCATTACCATGGCCACGACAATTTTTTCGTAGTTTGTGGCTGCTAGAATTAGTCACATGTGCTTCAGGCGAATCGTTCAAACAAGCAGGTCGAGCTTGATGATTCTTCATCAAAAGCTAATTTTGTTTTTCAATAAAAAATAAAACAGAGATCAAATCCGAAAATTTGGTGAACTTCTGTGCCCTATATTGTTGCTGCAAGACAATATTGGTGGTATTAAAGGTCGAATAGGTCTTCTCCAAGAGATCCTCGTATGTTAAGTCTACTTTATAGAACTTAAGTGGTGATCGGATTCTACAAACTTCCGAGTTGTATTCATTCATAGACTTGAAGTCTTGGAAGCATAAATGCTGCCAGTTGTGTCTTACTTCAAGCAAGTAAATGTCTTTCTGGTGATCGAAACAATCAGCCAGAGCAAGCCAGATGGTGCGTGGATCCTCCTCAGCGAGGTATTCGGTCTACAATGCATCATGGATGTGTCTTTGAATGAAGATCATATCAGTAGCTTTCTCAGCTTCATTGACGGTTTCATCGTCGATTGGTTCCTCGATTGTGGCTCTAATACCCTCTGCGGTAAGATGAAGCTTCACATTTTGAACCCACTTCAGGTAGTTTCTTCTAGATACTTCTAGAGCAGGGAAATTGAGCATCTTCAAGTTCAACATGTCCTTAAAACAGAGGGTACAAAAACATGGTTAGTCATATGGAAAGCCATAGACATACACCGTAGAACATTCGAGCTCTATAGACATGTCTAGGTTTTATTTAAGCATGAAAGCTACATGTTTCATGTGGTAAGTTTTGAATGAAAACTTTGGGTTTCAAAGGCGCTAAAAATGAAACTACAAGTTCAATTTAGTTTTATGAATGATTAGTTCATAAAGGAGAGGTTCCTGCAAGAATACAGAATGCAATATGTTGATTGAAGTGTAATGGATTTGAGTTTCTTTGGGAACTCAAGTATGAGAGCTTCGGGACAACGAAAGGATGTCAACGGTTCAAAGTATAAAAATAAATTATTGAATCGTTAATGTCTAACAGTGATCTTTAGGTCAATAATTTTGGATTAATTATTAGATTAATGGATTGCTGGTCACTTTTAATTAATTCAATAGATTGGGCCCAAATGGGATCGATTGTGGAAGCAAAATAATGACAGACGGGTCATATTAGCTTGGTTAGCGATAAGCCAAGTGATAATTAAATTAGAATTAACTATAGTAAATCAAAGTACAAAATATTTGGGCATGATTTAGAATGCGAGGATGCCAAAAATTGGCATTGGATTGAAAAAATAATGCGGCCCAGCCAAAAGTAGGCTGGTTACGATGTAAGGATAGGCCTTGCAACACAGCTGTTGATCATTGGGTTGTGGGAGGGTTGCAGGCCTCTGGGCCATGTGGTATGGGTGAGCATAACAGCAAAAGGTACTAGTTTGGGCCAAAAACAAGGCACAAGGTAAGCCCAGCTTAAGGTTGGCTTGCAGGTTGGTGCAGAGAGGCCAAGCCGAGGCTGGCTCTTTGGTTTTGGGGTCGGGGCAGGTTAAGCCTAGTAGCGCAAAGGCTACTAGCAAGTTGGGACGAGGGGTTGTGAAGCCCAACAAGCAACATAGGCTTGCTGCAGGTAGGCCTATGGCACAGGACAAAGCCCAACAACATAAGGCTGCTGGTAGGTTGGGCTGGGGACACGTAGATGAGTCTAAGAAGAGCTCCAGGCCTTCTTAGGAGTTAGGCTAGGCTGCAAGCCCGTGTAACCCTACCAGGCCGAAGGCCTAGTGTGTCCGTATAGGCGCAACAATGCCTAAAGGGCAGCTACCATAGTCCAAGCGTCCAGACGACGTCGTTCTGGTGGCGTGCTCCACGTGGCTGGGCTACAGGCCAACTATGGTGGTCGGCGATGGTGCCAACAGTAGCGCAACGACGAGTGCAACCATACCACATAATTCCTGACTTTTTTTCTTTTTCTTTTTCCAACATTTCTAGGGTTTGTGAAAAACCGAGATTGCTTCTAATTCATTTACATGTTTTGACTCACAAATTTCACTTAGCAAAATAATAATTGTGTAATGAATGAAACGTAATGAATGAAACGTATATATATATATATATATATATATATATATTGACAAATATATGAATCATATACAATATATATATATATATCGGAAGGAAAATATAAATATAAGGGGTTCATGCATCATAGGGAATGCTTTCATACTTCGTGGACGTTTCAAATATCTTACTTTATTTTAAGCGTATCTGATTAACAAAAAACATATAAAAGCCTTTGAATTTTGTAGACGAAAGCCTCCTCCTATGCTTCAGTTCCTTAACTTCTAGCAAGAGCGTGTTGATAATGTATTGTAGGCCTAATTGACTGAACAATTATAAGGAATAGAGAGGGGGTGGCCAACGACAATAAGAAAGAGAAGAGAGATATTTAATTGTGAGGTGTGTTTTATTTCACCCTATTGTGCTTTTAATAGTATTATGATAGGTTAAATATTTACTCTAATATGATTACAACTCTATTAGGATAAAATATCTACTAAAGGGAATATTCAAATATATCTCTAGATACACTAGGATTTATACAATTACATTCCTATTCTAAATATGACTGCAACAATAGACTAATTTTGTAGATGATATTTGTCAACCATGTGATGTGCCACAAATAATAAATAAGAACGTTAATGAACACTTTAATAATCCAATTATCGACAACTACGTCATATCGTTTACAAAATATAGTTTAAATTGATAATCTTCCTAACATCACCCTATGTAATATTTGCTACATCATTTTGCTGATAAGGCACATTCCTATTGGTTCAAATCTTTAAATTGAAAGTATTTTTAACAAAAATAACTTGAAAAAGAATTGAAAAGGAGCAAAAAAAGAATAAAAGAAACGGCTTATTTTGGACACGAAGAAACGGTCCTTTTAGCCCGGTCTGTTGCAGTAGCTCCATCAGACGAGCAAATTGAGAAGAAGACGACGAAGGAGGTAAAGGGCAAAAGAGAGAGAAGAAATGGGTTGGATCGGTGAGAGCGTGGACTCCATCAAATCCCTTCAGATCCGGCAGGTCCTCACCCAGGCCATCAGTCTCGGTTCGTCAACCCTTAAACCCTCGCTCTCACTCACCAATTTTCTCGTTTTGGGTCTTATCAGTCGGTATTCATACTTTCTTTTATCTGCTTGGTGATGAGAAAATGTGGGTCGCAATCAAAATGTGATGTTTCCAACGTTTACCTCTTATTTGTTTTGTCTTCTGGGGTCTAGGTGAGTAAAGCTTGACACTTTACCGAGATTATTCATAATTAAATGGTATTTACTTAATAATCAATTGTGGGAATGCAGTATTTGTGGGTTTTATTGATTACCCAATGCCAATTGTGTACAAATTTTGCCAATTATTTTGTGGTTTTTTCTATTCTTTTCTATTAATTTTTGTGTCTAAATTTTTATGACTTAGTAGCTTATATCCGAAATTCTTCCTCCGTTATTTCAATTGGATTTTGGAAGAGTGATCAGTTGTTATCGTTTCATAACTTTTCAGCAAATGCATTACTGGGGTTTTTATTTTTGTGATTTCTGTTTCAGGTATGATTGTTACATCTGCGCTTATAATATGGAAGGCTTTAATGTGTGTCACCGGCAGTGAGTCTCCTGTAGTTGTTGTTTTGTCTGGAAGTATGGAACCTGGTTTCAAGAGGGTGAGATAGTATAATGCTTAATGTTTCAATGCTTTGCTACCATAATATATTTTTATCATGGTAGTTTTATCACGCCTTCTGATTTTTTATGTCTAGTTATTAGTTTAATACTTTTGTAATTGATTTATATGTTGAGCAACTCTTATCATTAAAAGGGTTGTGCATGTTGGTGGTGTACTATATTAAAAGTAGGGAGAACAAAATTTCTTCTTTCTCTTATTTTATTGTACCTATCTTTGAGGAAGCTATCGATGGTACTCCTCTTCATTGTACCTGGATTCATCTTTTTCGCGATGTGTTTTACCAATCTATATCTATATTACTTATGTTACCACTTATTTGTTTGCGTAGCTAAAGATAAGAACTGATACGCATTGCAGGGGGACATTTTATTCTTGCACATGAGTAAAGAACCCATTCGTGCAGGAGAAATTGTTGTTTTTAATATTGATGTAAGTTCCTTTGATTGTTTTTGTTTTTATTTTTGCCTCACTCTGTTTTATTGTAAGTACAGCTTTTTATGCCTAGTTATTCTCATGCTTGTTTGAGCATTCATTCTGATTTCTTTCCTCGCTATATTGACTCATTGCCATTTCATTTTGGGACTTAATTTTGTTGTCGAGGTGCAATAATGATAGAGAATATACTATTAAGGTTCTACTTCACAATGAATTTTGATGTTGTTCTGCCTCATCTGTTTATGAATGACGATGACTTTCCAAATACTCACATCCTTTTCGTTCAAATAAAACACTAAAAATCCATCATCTGGCATGTAAACCATCTGCTGCTTGTTTTCCAGTTTTGTTAGCATGCACTACACTTTAGTTTTTGAACTTTGCTTATGCAACAAGAAAAGTTAGCATGTAAAAACCAAGGTTCTAAAACACGCTAGGCACTAGTCAAGTGGTGGGCTGGAGCCTAGGTGCTAGGCGGGGTCTAGGCGGATTTAAGTAAACTTATTATATATTGTCTAAATAAGTGTCTGTTTATACTTAAAAAAAAAATACATAATTGTATTAGGATACTTAGGATACATAAATTGAAAAATAGAATGATATATAAGTTACAAAGTATTAGAGCATATTGAAAACATGGGGAACTAGAATATACTGAGTGTTCATTCAATTATTCAACAAGTCTCTTACAATTTATTAAAAAAATTAAATGCAAAATGAAAGTTATCTATTTTTTGTCTAAGTGATAGTCGCGACCTAATTGGGTGCCTAGGTGGGTGTAGGCAGGCTAAAAGCACTTTCTTAATTTTTAAATGCCTAGGGATTAATCAGAGCGGTGGCCGGTGATCTAGCGCCTAGGCGGGGTGATGGTCAGCAGCCTAGCGGCTAAGAGAGGTCTAGACAGCGGTAGGCGGGGATTTTTAGAACAGTGGTAAAAACATAACATTGCAGCTATGGAGTTTTGAGGGCCCGTGAGAGCTTTAAGTATTTGTATAAGGGGCAGAAAATTTTCAATTTTGGTCACAAGCGCAAATTTTGGAATTTTCTTATCTTAAACAATTTTGATCCCAACATTTTAACTGTGAATATTGCAGTTTTCTCTTCCATTTGTTTGTAAGTACATGTATGTATATCACTAACACAATTTCTTATTGTTTCTTAAGCATGTGTGTTATCAATTAACCTAAGATAGAAAACAATGGAGTTTCTCTATTTAATGGTATTGTTTTCCCCTTTTTCAAGAAGCAAATACTAATATGTTCCTACTTTTCTCTGTCTATTTTCTTCAGGGCCGTGAAATTCCAATTGTCCATCGCGTCATTAAGGTAAAGGATACACTTTTTGACATTGCTAAATCATGTTGACTTTTGGATTTTGAAATAAGAGGTGTCGTACGTTTGAGTTCGTGAATGGAATAGTGAATTTAGCTGAAAATATAGAACTTGAATTAAATTTTGAGGACTTGGTTTAGGCATTTTCTTCTTACATTTTATTTATCTACATCACAAGGAAACATTTTTTACAATCAAATACATCAAAATTAAACTAACAGATCAGGCTATTGCTTTGCCACATTGTAGTTTAAATGATAGCCATAATATCAGTCTTTTCATTTCATACACCTTGGACCTAATTACGTTCGTTGAAGATTATTCTATAAGAAGTTGAGATTTTCTGCAAAACGGCCAACCAAATAACAAGCAAGGTTCACTTACACACCTGATGTAGATTTAGTTTATTAGATGCTTCCAGATCAACCCCCCTTGTTTTTCCCACAATCAGCTTGGCTACAGCCATCTGCAGTCCTGTGAACAGTGCTGATCAATGGTTTTTGCAGGTTCATGAACGAAAAGATACAGGAGAAGTTGATGTCCTAACAAAAGGTGCCAATTTCTTGAAAATATATGTAAATACTTGTTATGTGTGATGTAATCCTTGGAAGTCTTGATGCATAAATCTCGTTGAAGAAGCATCACAATTCATATTGTTTCTAACCTCAGTTCTTCTGCTGTTTCAAAACATGTTGTCTTTTGTGTGTGTTGCTGCACTTCTTTTTTACTCAAATGTTCACCGTCTATATTGTTGTTTCCTCAGGAGATAACAATTATGGGGATGACAGGCTTCTGTATGCTCAGGGTCAGCTGTGGCTACAACGGCATCATATCATGGGCAGAGCTGTAGGGTAAGAACTTTTTGCCTCCGTTTTATGGAACATGGTAAACTATCATATTTTGCAGCTGGAAGTCATAGTCTTGAAGCTTAATCGCTTCGTTCACTGTTTTCACAATAAACCATACCTGTTCTTTTTTCCCCTTCTTAAAAGGAAAATAGAAGTCAAGTGATTATCATTTCATGCCGATCCCAATTTTATTCAATTTGTCATCATTTTCAGGTTTTTACCTTATGTTGGCTGGGTGACAATTATCATGACTGAGAAACCTATTATTAAGGTTTGTTTCTCCTCCGAAAATGGTCTTATTAAACATGCAGAGACACCAATGATGTTATTTAATTTACGAACTAATCCTTTCTGTTTCTTTGTTCAGTATATTCTAATTGGCGCGTTGGGGTTGCTTGTTATAACATCAAAGGACTAAATGAAGTAAACTCCGGGGGTCTTGAATCTGCTAAATTTCTTAATTGTATGAGACAATTTTACCTGATAGATTACAGCAGAATAGTTGGTTAATGTTATTAACATCTATTTTAAGTTTCTCCTTTCCTGAACTAAAATTTGGCTTCGCGTAATTTTTCGGTAAAATTGCAGAGTCATCAAGTGATGATACTAATCCACAATGGTTAAAGACGTGCAATTTTAGTAATATCACATGACGGTGTTCCAATTTTCCAATCTATTTTATAACATATACAATGCTATCAAGTGTCCACTTGTCCTCCAACCTAAAATGGAATAGGTACCAGCAATCTGATAAGCTTTTTCATATCTTGAAAAATGATTTTTGCGCACCTTTTTATCCTTTTGCACGTCCATGTGTTATTTTTGTCATTGATTCTCCTCGCACGATACTTCTTTTATGCAACGAAGATATGTGAAATTGGATGGACGATGACAAAATTGTTGGTGCTTAGGAGTCTAGGGAGTTTGTTTTGGCAAATTGTTAAGAGACTATTCCTTAACCATGTACCACGGTATTAGAATAGTCTTCTTCGAGGACCATGACACGGTTCCTGAGCTCATCATAAATAAATATCCTGAAGTGCCTCTTTTTTTTTTTTTTTTTTTTTTTTTTTTTTTTTTTGTCTTAATCTCCTGCATAATCACCATTTGTATAAGAAATTAGTTCCTCATTTCCTCCCTTCTTATAGGACAACTCAAGAATAATTGTACCTTTCAAATACCTCATCACCATTTTTACTACCTGTAAATAAAGTTCGGTATGACTTTCCATCTGTCTGTTGGTCACTATGAACATCATATCAAGTCGAGTGGCAGTCAAGTACATTAGACCTCCCACAATCTGTTTATAAAGAGTGCTGGCTATTCTTACTCAATCTTCATCTTTTACAAGCTTGAAATCAAGAACAATGGGATTGTGAACTAGATTGCATTAGTCCATATTGAACCTCTCCAACACCTCTTGAGCATATTTCTTCTAACTGATAAAGATGCCATGCATGTAAACAAGAAAATTTTGTATCAAATGAAACAAGAACACGTGTACAAAGTACATTTGTATTGATTTGAATTTGTAGGTTACAATCTCTGTTTACAATTTTCCTCTGATTCAGTCTTCAAATTTGATGTAGATATGTAGGTTGTCGATTCAAGGGTTGCAATAACTTGATCTTGGACGAACAATTGAACAATTGCTTCAAGTTTTGAGCTTGAAACAATGCGTGGATGGTCTTCACCTCAGGTTTAGGGCTACGGCATGTTGATGTAGAATTTCGTTGATTCAAGAGTCTTGGCGACTTGATCTTGAAACAAACGTCGTTGCAAGTTTTGAGCTTGCAACAAAGTCTTGAAGGAATCGGCACAAATGCTTGTTGATTCTTCAAGGGAGTGCTTCGGCTTTGGTCAAAAGAAAGCTTCAGCCTTGGTTGTGCATTCTTTGAAGAGAGTTTTAGCAGCATATTAGTCTTTAAAGATTTGGCAAAGGCTCTCCTTTTATGAGAATTTCGGCCTTGAATGTAGAATTGCCGACCTTATGCTTGTCTTGGGACCTTGTATTTATAGACTTCCTAAAGCTTGCCCTTGCATGGATTTGGCTTTGATTTGTGTCTTGATTCGTCCATGGGAGAATTTAGGCATGTTTTGTGTCTTAATTTCAGCCACTTTTCCCTTGCTTGGCCGAATTATAGGGCTTTCTTTTATTTCTTGAACGAAACATTTCTTCAAGGGCCATTGATGTGTATTTCTTGAATTGAAATGATGAATTTCATCAACGGCCATTGAGGCGTATTTGTTGGACGAAACATTTCTTTAAGGGCTGTTGAGGCTTGGTCTTGAATGAAATGAAAATTTTCTTCAAGGGCTGTAGAGGCTTAATCTTGAATGAAATGGAAATTTTCTTCAAGGACTGTAAAGGCTTGATCTTGAATGAAATGAAAATTTAATTTAAGGGTCGTAGAGGCTTGATCTTGAATTAAACGAAATTTTTCTTCAAGGGCCGTAGAGGCTTGATCTTGAATGAAACGAAACTTTTTCTTCAAGGGCCATAAAGGCTTGATCTTGAAAGAAATTAAATTTTTCCTTCAAAGGCCGTAGAGGTTTGATCTTGAAAGACGTGAAATTTTTCTTCAAGGGTATGATCCAAGTTGAGATGACCATTGGCATGCGGTTGATTTTGTTCTCTCTCACATACCCAAAGACGAAGAGATGATGGTTGTGAGGCTTTAACCCTAGCAGCAAGTCTTTGTCAGTTAAGTTGATTACATCATGGGCGGCACAGCATATGGCATATTCATGTGATCGAAGCTTTAAGCCTTCGCCTTTGCTTTCTTGCACCTCATGGTCGTCGGGACTTGCCAAGACTGCTACTAGTGCTCTTCGCATTTCCTTGGGCAATCACAGCGCCTCCTCGATGCTAAAGTGTGTCGACAAGCTTTCTTTGGGTGTCAGGGTCTTCTCTTCCTCAGCGACGATAACTTTGCCTTTTGAGGGCTCTTTTATCTTTATTTCAACCATGTGACAGGCAACGGTAGTGCACTGGTGGAAGAAATCCTTCAAGAAGTACTTATGCAAGGAGACAGGAATATGTGGCTCTTGTTGTTCCCCAGCTTATGTTGGCTTGGAAGTTCTTGCACTCCTTTTGGGCTTCCTATTGTTGCGGCGACGGTGCTTTCTCCGTTGCTCCACATTTGGTCATGTGGCTTGTGGTCTTGGCTTGCTTATCTTTTTGTAGGTCACCAACATCCACCCTTCTTCATTGTCGGTAGGTGCATATTAGTCGTTTGCCCCCAATGATGGTTGTACAAAAGTTGTGCAGCTTAAGCATGGACGGGAATGGGCATGCATCACTTGGAGAGACATGAGATCGAAAGATCCAAACACAATCGTAGTAGTGTGAGTTATAGCCATGTCTTCAAGGTCAAGCTCAATTTGCCCTTGATGTGCCAGCTTCATGAGCTCCTTGAAGATGTAGTATTTGCCAATCGGATGACTCACGATACGATGGTATTTGCAGTACCTAGGATTGCTAAAGAGATTCATCTATTCGGGGCACTTACATTCAGGCAGCTCGATTACTTTATTCTCTAACAGGTCGTCTAGCATTGCAACCACGTCAAAGTTCGGAAAAGGTTATGTCTTCTACTCCATTTCCTTCAAGGTGTTTTTGTATCTATCTTGGGTGCGAGAAGGCTCACCTATCTTTATCTCATTTGCTTTGTTCTTGGATGAGCTCTTGGTAGGTGCAAAGAAGGTCTCGATGGGGGTAGCGTTGACGGTAAAATTTCATTGGCGATCTTTTTCCCAGTCTTGTCCACCTTCGAAGCAAACACCTTGTCCTTCTTAAAGTCGCTGATCGGCTCCTCTTTCCTATGATTGGAAATACTTAGCTCGATGTCGTCGGATTGAGTTGCCAACTCCTCAAACGTTCTCGATTTTATGCCTTGAAGGATGTAATGTAACCCCCAGGGCATGCCTTGAACACACATCTCAATAACAGAGTTTTCAAAAAGCAGATCTTTGTAATCCAAACTTAATGAACACCATCTGTTGATGTAGTCAACGATAGGTTTGTCCTTCCACTGTTGTGTACTTGTCAGTTCCAACATGCTTATGGTGTGACGAGTATTGTAGAAGCGGTTGAGGAATTCCGTTTGAAGCTAATCCCAACTGTTGATAGATTCGGGCTTGAGGTCGGTTTACTAGTCAAAGACGGTACCTTTCGGCGAGCAAACAAATTGCTTCACGAGGTAGTCTCCTTTCATCCCAGCATTGTTGCAAGTGTCGATGAAATAGGCAATATGTTGTTTGGGATTTTCCCTTTCCATCGAATTGCATGAATTTTGGCGGCTGATAACCCTTTGGCATCCTCAAGGCGTCAATCTTCTTAGAGTAAGGATTTGAATACAACAAGGAGTCATGTGAGCACTCTTCGTACTTCACCTTGATAGTGCTAGTGATCAGCTGCTGAATAGAAAGAGATCCCATGAGCGTCGTTGCTTGGTCCAGCTTCTCCTTGGCTTTTTTTATCAGAGGCTCCTCATATTCATCAGTTTCCTTCTTTTGTGGGTCAACCGTTGGGTCATGGTTAGCTTTTTCGTCATGCTGCGCCTCTAATTGGTTGATGAGTGTGGCAATTTGCAAGTCCTTTTCCTCCACGGTCCTTATTAGCCTTACAATTGTTTCATTCTTTTGAGCCAGCTGCTCCTCGATGGAAGTCGCACCGGTAGTCATGATTTGCATGGCTACAAGATACGAGCTGCTGCTTGAGTTAGCATCGGAAGTTAAGGACTCAGAGTACCTCCTCGGGCTTTCTTCCCTTGGCGCCCTTAGCGAGGCCAAGGTGTTCACGGGCTCGTGCCTCGGGTGTTCTTGCTCCTTCGGCAAGGTTGATGTAGGAGTGGAGGGCACGGCAGAGAGAGCTCTTGCCTTGCTTCGGGTTATAATGCCCAAAGTGCCACCACTTGCGGCAAGGATGTTCTTGTTTTTCGTGTTGGTTGCGGGAATAGCTTGATCATTTCTTGATGCCATTTGTGCTTCTTATGGATTTGAAGACAGAGATGAGAGGCTGAGAGGTCCCACTGGGCATGCCAAATTTGTAAACAGAAAAATTCTGTATCGAATGAAACAATAACATGTGTACAAAGTAAATTTGTATTGATTTTAATTTGTAGGTTGCAATCTTTGTTTACAATTTTCCTCTGATTCAGTCTACAAATTTGATATAGATGCGTAGGTTGTCAATCCAATGGTCACGATAACTTGATCTCGGACGAACAATTGAATGATTGCTTCAAGTTTTGAGCTTGAAACAATGTGAGGATGATCTTCACCTCAGGTTTAGGGCTGCGGCAAAGGTGATGTTGATGTAGAATTTTGTTGATTCAAGGGTCTTGGCAACTTGATCTTGAAACAAACGTTGTTACAAGTTTTGAGTTTGCAACAAAGTCTTGAAGGAATCGGCATAAGTGCTTGTTGATTCTTCAAGGGAAAGCTTCGGCTTTGGTTGTGCGTTCTTTGAAGAGAGTTTTGGCACTGTATTAGTCTTCAAAAATTTGGCAGAAGTTCTCCTTTTGTGTGAATTTCGGCCTTGATTATAGAAATTGTTGACCTTATGCTTGTCTCTCAAAGCTAGCCTTTTGATGGATTTGACTTTGATTTGTGTCTTGATTCGTCCGTGGGAGAATTTAGCCATGTTTTGTGTCTTAATTTTAGCCACTTTCCCTTGCAGGCCGAATTATAGGGCTTTCTTGCCTATTTTGTGAGCAATCTTCAATTCTTGCTTGTTTTGTGAAGATGCTTTAGCTTTCTTTCCAGTTTTGAGAGCAATTTGGGCCCCTTGCCGATTTTAAAGGATTTCTTCCCCCTTTTGCCGAATTTTAGGGAAGTTTTGAGTTTCCTTTGCTTGATTTGTGTTATATGTCATTGATGGCTTGTCCATTTGTGATGAGTCATATACCACATGGAGCTTTGTGATGCATTATTTGCATGCAAAAAAATTTCTACGTCTGCAATGCAATCTTTGCATCACTTCAATGACAAGAAAGTATCTCATTTTTCCAAGATCAGTCATATCAAACTCAACCATCATGGATCATTGGAACTCATCAAACATTTTTTCATCATTTCCAGTAAATATGATATCATCAACATAGAGACAAGCAATTAAAATTTACCTCAGGATCTTTTAAATGACGATAACAAAGTCATTCAAAAATTGAGATCAATGAGTGATCAATAGCATGGATGAACAATGCCTTTATAAACAAGCTTTTCCCTATTTATGAACAATTTATATTTTCATGTGGATACTCATGTTTAATTTTTAAGGATTCTTTACACGGTCTTTTATTTTTTTTATTTTTATGTGTATTGAACTGAGAATGACAGTAATGACTTACCTTTCAAAACTCAAGGGTCGTGTTTAATGTGACCTCATGAAAAGTTGATAATAAATCCCTTACTCTTTTTAACTTTCATTTTTTTAAGTATCCTCTTTAGTTACAAACTCAAACTTCAAAACTCTATGCGTAACGATATTAAATACGAAAAAATCTCATTTTCCTTTGTTCCTGCTAATAATTTGTTGTCTCAGTAGGAATTGGATCATCTCCTGAGCAAAGCCTTGGGATCCTTCTGACCCTATAACAATCTAACGGCAACAAACAAGAGACTCCTTTAAAAGTTACAATAATTGTAACCGTTGGATCTCCAACGGCTACAAAAGGAAACTCCTTTAAAAGTTACAATAATTATAACCGTTGGATCAAAATTCAACGATCCGTGTTAGTGGGTTAGGAGGATTCCAAGCCTTTGGTGAGAGGATCCAATTCGGATCAATCACCTAAAACGTGTACTTGAGCAGTCCACGCACCCTTTCCCTGGACCCGCGCGCTTTACCATCACGGTCCACAAGCACAACACAGAAGAAAAACCAACCTAGAGAAACACCTGAACCCCCAGGAGGGCCAAAACGCCCCCACCCAGAGGAGGGATTTTTCGGTGTACCCGGAGAGTCCCGGCCAACTCTAATCACTTAACCAAATGTCCTCTCCCTCAAATCCCCAATGCTAAAACCTCCTCTCTCTCTCTCTCTCGATTTTATCCAAGCCTTCTGTTAATTTGATTTGATTAGAGGGAATGTACGATTCATTGATGGTGTTTGCGTTTCTGGGCTTTTGCTTTTGCACACGGGCATTGAAGCTCCTCTCGGGTGGGTGCCTAAAACCTTCGATTTCAGCAAATGGGTATGTTCCAGTTTCTGAAAATTTGAACAATATATGATAAAGTCTGCAATTTCTGGTTCTTTTGGGCGTTCATATTTCTGGGTTCTTCGAATTTTGAATTGGGTTTTCGATTCATAATGGTTTGTGTAGAATGCCGATGTCGATGGATGGGTGTGCATTAATCTTGGGAAAGTCCTGAAACATGCTCTCTCTGCGAACCAGTCGCAGATTCTGTAATACCGCCATTGCCACAACCTCGAATGATTTCCCTGCAGCCGTGTCCAATCGAGTCTTGAATACGAAACCATTAGAAGAGCCTGCCCTGGTTAAGCTTAAAGCCGAGAGAGACCCCGAAAAACTGTTTCATTTGTTTAAGGCGAACGCGCACAATAGACTTGTCATTGAGAACCGCTTTGCATTTGAAGACACTGTGTCTCGTCTTGCTGGAGCTTGCCGGTTTGATTACATTGAACATTTGCTTGAGCATCAGAAGAGTCTTCCACAAGGTCGGCGGGAAGGGTTTATTATGAGGATTATAACGTTGTATGGTAAGGCTGGGATGACGAAGCATGCTATTGATAGTTTTTGTGATATGCATTTGTATGGTTGTTCTAGGACTGTTAAATCTTTCAATGCTGCACTCAAGGTTCTGACTCAAACCCGTGATTTAGGAGCTGTTGAGGCATTTCTGAGGGAGATTCCAGAGAAGTTTGACATTGAAGTGGATATATATTCGGTGAATATTGTTATCAAGGCTTTTTGCGAAATGGGTATTTTGGTTAAAGCATATCTGATCATGGTACATATGGAGAAGTTGGGAATAAAACCAGACGTCTTTACATACACAACACTGATGTCAGCATTTTACAAGGACAACCGGTGGGAAATTGGTAATGGTTTATGGAATCTTATGATACTGAAGGGGTGTTTGCCTAATCTTGCGACTTTCAATGTTAGAATCCAGTTTCTGGTACATAGGAGACGAGCCTGGGAAGCTAATAGATTGATGGGTTTGATGCAGAATATTGAGATGACACCTGATGAGGTTACATATAATTTGGTCATCAAAGGTTTTTGTCAGGCAGGGTATCTTGAAATGGCCAAAAGGGTGTATTCTGCTTTACATGCAAAGGGATACAACCCTAATGTCAAAATATATCAGACTATGATTCATTATCTTTGTAAAGGAGGGGATTTTGATTTGGCGTATACTATGTGTAAAGATTGCATGCAAAAGAATTGGTTTCCGAATGTGGATACCATTCATACATTGCTTGAAGGCCTAAAGAAGGCAAACCAGCTTGGTAAGGCTAAGGCAATCATGATGTTGGTTCAAAAAAGAGTGCCTCCATTTTCATCAAAACAATTGGGTGCTTTGCAAACCATACTGACCAAGAGTTGAAATAAGATGAAGGACTAGAAAACTGAAATGCGGTTGATTATGTAACTGCACGGCTCAACAAGGGGCCAAGGGCTAGTGTTCTTTTTCACCTACTCATTTGTAAATCTGCAGAGCAATTGACATGAATTTTGTTTATTTATACAAAAAGGCCATCCTGGTTCCTCAATAATTTGTATTGCCACCTCAGTTGAATGGAGCTTTGAACGGGACAGCTGTCGCCCAAAATTGTTGTAAGTTCATTGTTCATTGTGCAATTGTTCTCCTATAATGCTGCAGTTAGCCCTTTTTGCAAATTCTTGGGTAATTAGCTTCTATGATTTTGATTGTTTATACAATGCTTGCACGGGTAATTTGGATTATTTAAATTTTGGAAGAAATAAGTACTTTAATAATTAAAATTACTTATATCATCAGATGCCGTAGATTATAATTGAGGCCTTATAACTTATGCAGCTTCGAAGTAACACATAAGGATATAAGATTGCCGTGAATAATTTATTTAGTTATGTGCTTAACATTAGTATCATAACTAGAATTTTTGGTGGTTTGAACTACTAGCCTCTGGAAAATTTTAAATGTTGTTCTTATGTCCCAAACTTGCCACATCTTCTCGGCCATTTTCTCAAGCTCTTAATTAACGGCAAGATCAGAAACATATAGGGTTTATAGATAATCCAGCTTCTCATTCTCATGCCATCTGTACCGATAGGTAATAGGGTAATAGGTATGTGATTCATGTATATGATAATCATACACTAATGAAAAAATGCTAGATCAAATGTTGCTTAGCCATTTATGGACATCCGCATACTGATTTAAATGTTGTGTATGTTTACGTTGAAATAAATCTGCATATCCTTGTTAGCAATTTCGATGCGTGGTTTTCATAGTGTGAGTTCACCTTACAGCTAGTGTTTGCCTTTATGTGTTTCTTTTCTTTTCTTGGACCGATAGCGTTTGGCTTAACTTGAGTACAACATGTTTGCAATACCGATATTTCCCTAAGCCCTCTTGGTCCTGTATATATTTCTTGTTAGATGGAACGAAACCTGGACTGTGACAAGGTCTAGATTCAATTCCAGGATAAGATATGAAGAAAATATATTTTGATTCAGTTTCAGTAATTACTTAAAATTTAGTTGATGTGTAGGGTATTCTAAGATTTGTAAAACAAAGAAATGTAATAGGGAGTGATTTTGTTTAAGCCCTAAGTTTACTCTCTAAAGCACTATTTTCGAAACAGAGTTTGAAATGTGATTTTACCCTTTTAAAATAATTAACACAAATGTGAACAAAAACCCTTTTTTGTCTTCCTTCCCTGCTGTAGAAGGTCATTGCCATGTACGGATCTGGCACCTGGACATCACCCCAAAACATTTAAAGATCAATTGAAATTCCGATTTTTGTGGTGAGAACCCTTTACTATAGTGCACATTGTATAATGTGGATTAGCTGGACATGAAATATGACTTGTGTAGTTTGCATAATGTATAACAGATATACGGTGAATCTCAACCCAAGAGTGCTTTGTTAATCTCATAACGCTTGGGTGGAAGGTGAGTGCGTGTTTTTTTTTTCAGTGGAGGGGTGGAGGAACCTGATGAAGCATAAATGGTTCCAAAAAGATTTTGAAAATCTTTTTATAAAAAAGAGAATAGAAAATAACTCACATGGCTTATTGGCTAGATATTTCTTGTAAAATGAATTCTAATTTTTTACTATTATTTTACTGTCTCTCTCTCTCTCTCTCTCTCTCTCTCTCTCTCTCTCTCTCTCTCTCTCTTTCTCTCTTCCAAAATATAATCAGATTATTTATTTGCTGTGATTTCATTCTACAGAATTCCAATCATCTTCTACCCTGCCCCTCGAGGTGCATCACAGTTCCTTGGGGTAAGGATACCAAATCTGTCAGTGAGCCCAACACATGAATCTTCTTTCATAATATATAGCCTGACTATATGCCTCTAATGTATAGGTTTATTTTTTATTTTTATTTTTTTTATTTTTATTTTTTTTATTTGGTAGTGAGTGTACGAGTGCGTGCGCTTTCTGTTGTTGGTTGTATGTCTTTGATTGACTGGGTCATTTAATTGAGAATTGGTGCTACATGTGTAACAGTTATTCAGCAGCGAAGTGATTGGGAGATGAGTTTTTCATATTCTGGGTAGAGTGAGTCTTCGCAGGAGGCAAGGCAGGCTGGGAGTCGATTCATTACACTTGATTTAGTGCATTCAGAGGGGAAAAGATAGAAGTTGAAAGTCTAAAGAAGGTGAGGAGTTGCTGCATCATGAGTCAGAGCTTGTCCTTCATAAGTTATTATGCGCATACGCAGCTTCTCATGAAATCACAGATCTTTCGTCGGAGAATATTGTTTGATTGTACTGCAGTTTCAGATAGTTTGAACATTAAACTCCCTCCGACAGGTGAGAGTGCGCTGCTATTGACTGCTCCCTATTCTTATAAATTCTAGCGCTTGGTCTGGAAGTTGAGTAGAAATTTGATAACTACTCTCCGATGTAACACGGGCTGCACCCCGTTTCTTTAGTGCCATTCAATTCAATTCAATTCAATTGTTCTAAAAAAACTACTGATATCCGACTATTGAGAACGTGATACGAAAACATTATTTTCATTGGAGACAATTTATACATCTGAGCTTTTTCTTCACTTGATCTATGTTTTCCAAGCGAGCCAGTGACGAATTATTTGACTTGTAGAGAAAGGTTTGTATCAAAATATCACACTGAATTCTCCCCATCCAAAAAATTTCTATTTATATCCTCTTCTATTTGGTTCGTGGAATGAATTCTTTGAGAATGTAGTTCCTAATTTCCTATACATATTTTCACACAACTGATCAAAAAGCAATGCTTGTTGAGTGTAGGGCTAGGCACGGGCTGGGGACAACATATTTCAACACAGAAACCGGACCTAACCTAGCCTGGTTGAAACGGGTTGATTCGGGCCAGGTCCACAGGTCGTTTGATTTTTATTTATTTTGTTATTTTTTTATGTGATGATCGACTAGGAACCTGAAGATGCTTGGGGAGGTATTCAGCGCTGGTTACAAGTGTCCACAATCTCCCCTTGGCAAACGACTCAGAGCCTCCTTGATTTCCAAATCGTAGTAGGGATCGTACATATCGTCGTATCGAAGCCCTAAATTTTCATTACCAATTTAGCATAGTTCAAATCTAATACAATCAAATCGGTCTATACATACACAGATACATATAGAGAGAGAGAAAGAAGTTAGGGTTTGTGAAAGAGGAGGTGTACCGTAATGGCGGAGGTGTTGGGAGACGGCCTTCATGTGCTGGTGGGCAAACCAGTTTTTCCTTAGATCCCCCCAAGATTTCAGCAATGACGCCATTTTATCCTTCTCTCTCTTGCACTCTATCTATTTCTCTCTCTAGGCTGAGTTTCTGAGGGCAGCAATGTTGCGGCCGCTATGGCTATGGCTGGATGGGTGGTGCTGTTGCGTTGGTCTTGACTCGCAACAGCGGTGATGGGCTGGGTGGTTTCTGTGAGGTGAGGCTGGAGAAGACGATTGAGATTTGAGAGTTGGAGTCAAGGTTAAGCCGTCGAGGGATCGAGGGAGGGGCTGATTCCTAGACTTGGGATTTCTGATAATTTTGTGAGAATTGGGAGAAACGGGTCCAAACGGGGCCCTGTTTCCTAAGTCTTTTGCACCCGCCCCGCCCCGATAATTTTGTGAACCCGCCCCGCCCTGCCCCATTTTGTCTTTACAAATTTTAAACCCGCCCCGTACCCGTCCCGAACCGCGTGGAACCGGCCCACCCCACGGGCCTAGGGGCCGTTTGCCCACCCTTAGTTGAGTGTTTAAAAAAGCCATGGTTCACATTATATTTCATAGTAAAAATCATTTAATAATTAATTAAAAAATAATTTCAAGTTGTTGTCAATTTTGGTAGCAAAGGTGAAGGCAATCCATGCCATGCTAGATATTTATTGTTGGAAATACTGTTGCTATCATTTTTTACAGTTAATGCTGATTTGAATTTTTTTACATCTCTTTCTTTTGCTCTTAAAGCATCTCCAAAAGAGATGTTAAATTTTAGGGAGCCTTACCTATAGAGACAAAAACATATAACATAGTTCACACAACTCTACTAGTTTTTAAACATTTCAAAAAGAGACAAAACCCAAAACAGCATAAAACCCAGCCCAAAGACAAGAACCAAACTTTAACAAATACCCACACAGATCCATCAATAAATGGCCAACGTTAACAAAAAAAAAAAGACATAATTGAAACGAATTGTCATTACCCCTCTACAAAACCTCCAAGCTCACGTCATTCTTCTTCATCCTCCACATTTTTCGAATCTCTCTCACCAAAAGTTTCAATTGCTCATACCAAAAACCAATAAATACACTGCCTAATTTTTGAGATTTATGCATTTGTCCGAAATGACAGCCGAAATTCAATTTACACAGCAGTTTTCTACAAAATCAAAGACGAGAGAGTTGATCGTTTTTCAACCCAAAAGACATTTCTGCAGCATCAATTCTCCCATAAAAAGGTGACCACAACTCATAACTTGTTTATTTACATATTCCACGTCTCCCTTAAAAAAAATAAAGATCCATTGCCCTCGAAAACACAAATTATTTTGCAAAAGAGTCTGGAAAAAAATTGGTTTAGAAACTAAAAAAAACCTACTATTTCATAAAAAAAAATTAAAAGAAAAAAACTGAACTCCTCAATTTATGCAAGAGCACTTTCATTTCTGCATTATAAGGTTAAGTTTCAGTAGAAACTAAGCTCCTCAAGATATACCTTGTTATTTTACAATTTATATTTTTTCAAAATCAGTTTATCCTTTCAAATTCAATTTGTGTTATTGTGACGACCCGTCCCTAATTTTATGTTTTTACAAATTTTAAAAGCGTGATTTTACGAAAATGCCCTTAGAGCCGAGGGTCTTGACTTTCGTTGATCAACGTATAGTGAGGTGTATGAATTAATCCTTTAGCGTTTTCCTGAAGTACTCGACACTACGGACTCGTAGGCGCAAGCAGAAGAGGATTTGGGGTTACGGTTAAAGTTTTACGGAATTGTAAACTCGAGAAGTACTTTTGTTTTAGTCATTATTTATATATTTTTATATTTATTTACCATTTAGTTATTTTTTTAAGTTGAAGAAGAAGAGAAAGAAGAAATGGGGAATGGGAGAAGAGAAGAAAGAAGGGCTACTGCCCAATCAGAAAGAAGAGGGAATGAGTGACTAACCAGAAGAGGGAGGTGAGGAGATGGCCAATCGGGAGGTTGGAAGAGAGGGCCAAGGATGGAACGAAGAACAGGGGATCAGGAACCCTTTCTCCTTGACCCGTTTCAGACCACGATCCGCATGTAGACCCGGCAGCTCCAATCCAAATTCTGGGGTCCTCTAGCAATTTTTCAAGCGAAATTTACCAAGCTTTCACCTGGGAACTTGTTCACGACCTCTCCTTTCCTATTTCTACCAAAAACCTGGGTCAATTAGGGCTCCAATTCGTAGAAATCGAATCGGGAACCCGATGGGTGCACGATGGTGAATCCGCCATTCCTACAACCATTTCCTTCGATTACCACCACAGTTAGCCTTCCCTTGGACCTAGGAATAAGACCCAACCGGTGGTTGGGTCGGTGGAGCTTCGGAGACGACGAATCGACAACCACCATTTTCTAGGGTTCTAGCGGGTTTGAGCAAAATTGGAGGTTTTCCCAGCCAAATTAGACTTAGCCACATGTATAAAGTTTACTTTACTCATTGAATTGAGATCTTCATTCATGTAAATTTTGGTAATTTTTGAAAATAGTTGGATTTTCCGGCGGGTCGGGGTGGCCGACCGCCACCCACAGCGGCGCATGGCCAGGGGCCATCGATGTTATTCTTAGGCTAAATTAGATTTCTTGAGTTCGGTTTTGGTAATTGTATAACGTAGGTTTGATCGTTTGGACCTCATTAAAATACGTTACTTGGTAAAGATGTGAATCGATGATCTGACCGTTGGATCGTCACCAAACTTTAATACGTTGTAGTACAAAATATTTGTTTAGTATTAGATGTTTTTTAGTATCGCATTTCTACCCCTAGACTAACCATTAGTCTGAAACGAGTTATTCAGACGTTAGTGGACGAGTTGTATCTTGTTTGTCCCACCATTAGCATGGTTGCAGCATACCATTATCTCTATTTTAGTTGCTTGTAACTACGGTTACAATTTTGGGCTAGCTATGTTACCATTGGAGTTGACATACAGAGACCTTATGCATAGTGCATATTTGGTAGACGCTTACTTTTGTTAGAGTTATGGGTAACTACGGTTACATTCCTGATTAGGAGTATGACATCATTTGAGAGATAATATAAATATTGTATGCGCAACTTGTGATTTACAAAAGAGTATTGCAAACAAGTATTTGAATGATTGAATTTATGATGTAGAAAATTTTATGTTATTGACGATGTTGCCTAAGAAGGTAGTGAATGAGCACAATCGAGGCGTGTATGTGCATTTCCCTATGAGGGGCAAGATGGTAATATTACACCCACGGGGATTGTTACTTGCTTATCGAGAGAACAGTGGGTTGTCGGTATTGTGGGCTGCAGACCGTAATATCAATGACTTATTTGTTGGGTTCGTTAAGCAAGTAAACAAGTAGGTCATTCTATGTTAGTATTTGTATTTACTTATTTAAGTAGTTTTTTGTTGTTTCGGCTTGATCCAAAGATATTACATGCTAAATTTCGAAGTACGTTATACTATGAGTGCGTTTGTGAAAATATTTTATGTTTGCTTTTGATTTCAGTACAACTATTTTAATTTTACTTCATTACAAATGTATTCTGATGTTATGCTTTATACGTCTATTTTTGGACCCCATGTTTTATTAAAATATTATATTTTGGCATGGTACTGAAGGAGAAGGAAAGGTTGACCTTGGAGGCATAAAAGAGGAATCACTGCACTCTGATCACGATGGAATGACATTCTCTTTTATGCAACCGCTCTAGTTGATTTCTTCGTTATGTGTACATTTTCTTACGATCTTTCGGAGTATTTTATGTATAATTAGTGATTTCAAATTTTGGGGACGAAATATTTTTTTTAGGGGGGTAGATTGTGACGACCCGTCCCTAATTTTATGTTTTTACAAATTTTAAAAGCGTGATTTTACGAAAATGCCCTTAGAGGCGAGGGTCTTGACTTTTGTTAATCAACATATAGTGAGGTGTATGAATTAATCCTTTAGCGTTTTCCGGAAGTACTCAACATTACGGACTCGTAGGCGCCAGCAGAAGAGGATTTGGAGTTATGATTAAAGTTTTACGGAACAGTAAACTCGAGAAGTACTTTTGTTTTAGTCATGATTTATATATTTTTATAATGTTTATATTTATTTATCATTTATTTATTTTTGTAAGTTGAAGAAGAAGAGAAAGAAGAAGTGGGGAACGGGAGAAGAGAAGAAAGAAGGGCTACTGCCCAATCAGAAAGAAGAGGGAGTGAGTGACTAACCAGAAGAAGGAGGTGAGGAGATGGCCAATCGGGAGGTTGGAAGAGAGGGCCAAGGATGGAACGAAGAACAGGGGATCAGGAACCCTTTCTCCTTGACCCGTTTCGGACCACGACCCGCATGTAGACCTGGCGGCTCC